CTGAGCAATCATTTTACTAGCACGACGACGAACGACCCAATTGATGGAGGGGGAAAGGAAAGGGTCAGAAGAAAGGCCGCACAACGATGTAAGGAGTGTCGTGTGCATAACATTAAGCATCTTAGTAACCGCAGAAACAGGACGTATGCAGGGGGACATCCAACGCCATTTAGAGGTTACATATGTGTTGAGGAGCTGTAAACGTTTGCGAACCGGCGCGGCAGGGCGCCTGAGGATGCGATAATACCCCCAAAAAGTATTATTGGCCATAGACAGCCTCGCGCTCAAAATAGCCTGACAATTGAGGTCAAAGCCCATGAGGATACCCAAAAACTTAAAGGCACGCACAGGGTGGACTGAGGTCGTCCCGACGACAATGGGGCGGGGGGTAATGTCGGGAGAATGAATAAATTTACACTTGTCCAAAGACAGGGTTAATCCAATAGAGGCAAGGATGCTCATGACGCTCTCGAGCAAGCGACGGGCTTGTTCAATCGACGTGGCGAGTAAAATGATATCGTCTGCATAGAGGAGGTTAAACAGTTTTTGAGGCACACCGTCAGGTAGGTCAGCTTTGATCCAGGTATCTTCGGAGATGTCCCAGCGGGTATGAAGGAAACCTAAGAAAAAATCCAAAGTGCGACCGAAAATCTCCGCGGAATAGCTGGACCCCTGCAGAAGACCACGAAAAAGTTTTTGTTGCCACGACGAGTCAGCAATGCCAACAACGACACGGGATAAAACAATGATTTTAAGTAAGATGAGTGACTCCAGGCGGGGACCACATTGAGAGAGAAAACTAGCAACGGCAGAATGCGAAACATGATCAAAAGCTGATGCAATGTCTAATTTAACTGCGACCAAAGGCAAACGATACTCCTGTGAAAGTCGAATTAAATGTTGAAGGCAAACGGAGCCGTCAAGTGTTTGTGAACCTTTAATGCAAGCAATCTGATTAGCCGATGGTAGAGGAAAGAAAGGACGAATTCGGAACAAAAGGATCTTTGTAAAAAGCTTACCAACAGTGGAAGAAAGAACGATGGGTCGGAGGTGTTGAGGGAGGGACGGGGTCTTGATTTTGGGGATAAAAGTAATTTTTGAGAGTAGCCATTCTTGAGGTGGGGGAACAACTTGGAAAAGGACCGCATTAAACAAATCCACAAGATGAGGAGCCAATTCCGACTGCGAAATGCAGAGGAGCATTTCGTACGTAATACCATCGTGCCCTGCGGAGGAACCAAGTTTGCAAGTAGCGAGTATATCACAAACTTCCTGGGCAGAGATAAGATCCGGCTTCTCGAAAAACGGAACACGTGATTGCAAAAGGGCAAGGGGGAGTTCGTCAACGAGGGAATCAGGGGGTGTATATTTGGTGTGAAAGAAAGTCTTAAGGTCAGAAACCGCCTTGGACACCCCCCCTGCACGTACAATATAATTGGTGTGTTGTGTTATCGTGCTCTGCCTCTTGCGGAAATATGCAATGGCGCCAAAGTCTCCTTTAGAACCACGATCAAGGAGCTCAGTGAGCCAGGCTTGTTTGGCTTGTGCCCGCATGCGGAAAATATCCTTCCCTAGCTGCCGAGCCTCACGTCCATGCAGGGACCGTCGGAGTTTAATGGCATGGAGGATGTGAGGCGGGTCTTTGTATCTATAGCTACTCGGTCGGGAGCTGGCATCGTTACAGATGTTTTGCAGCTCAGTGAGAGAGAGGTCTTTAGTCGAGAGATCAAGCCGTTCTGCAAGAGCATTAGCAGCGTTGAGTAACAGTCCCGTATTACAGCGCCATTGGCCGCATCTAGTGCGATTCAATCTGGGGGGTCGAGTAGTGGCGCGCCTACAGGCAACGGGACAGGAAAAACTAGCAGTTACAGCTCTATGATCTGACCCAAGAATGAAATCCGAATCCTCAAGCACATTCTGAGAGGCAATATCTACCGTGGGAACTGATACAGAGATAAAGTCGATCTTAGAAGTAGACCCTTTACTGTTGGACCACGTGTATGTGTGGGGCTTAGTTGCAAGAAAGCCGTGTTGAGACAGGAAGTTGGCTGCAATGAAGCCTCTCTCATCTGAGGTGTTGGGATTCATCATACTCTCTACCGGACCAAGTTCGTAATTAGTGTCCGTCATCAAGACAACCGACTCATGCATTCTCCTGTTCACGAGCAAACTATCTAATTCCGAATTAAAAGTCTGCCAAGCCTCGAGACAATCATCTCGTTGTCGGTGAGGCAGATGAGCACTAATTAAGAATAGTCGAGACCCTGCATTCTTTAGAACCACGCAAATTCCACAGCTCATACAGTGAACCTTCTGAACCGCGGAAGAAAGCCTAGAATGAACGGCAACACCCACTGTTCGGAATGCTTGGGGAGGATTAGTAGCATAAACGTGCCACAAACCATCCAAGTTAGCCTCCAAAATCTGCCAAGGGGGGGGCAGGTCTTTGTGCCCACCTAATTCTTGGATTCCTATGAAGTCCATACCGTCCAAATGCAAGGAAGGCCAAGCAAGCTCCAAATCTTTTATGTGCTTACCTTGGATGTTCCACGATGCGGCGTGATACATGGTGGGAGGCGCGAGCTGTCAATCCCCAGAACGGACCCCGGAAGACCCGAAACGATCCCAGCAATCTTGCAAGCTGTCAATTGGTCTTCCTGAAGCAGCTGCAAAGGTCTTAGAGATAAGGTACCATTCCAAATGGTTGCCTTTAGCGTCCGAAAGCAGAACATCATTGATCCCCGGCTCCCCTTCACGATGAATCGAGCCCAACAGCTGGTGTCGTCCAGCAAAAACTTTTCCATTCCAAGAGATGTCAATGTTGTTATCGTTGAAGGGAGGGGGAAGACCTTCTTGAACATTCGGCAAACTCTTGTAAAATTCTTTCGTTAGGACGATCGCGCGGATGCGAGAACGCTCCTCCGGCGTTTTGGATTTCGTCATCCACAGCTTTGTTTTTTCGCTTCCAGGAACTCCGCTCACGTAGGATTTCTTTTTGAGTTTATCGAGTATTTCGGTCTGAAACTTCCTACGTTTGGAGATGTGTGCATCCGGGTCTGGGAAAACCAACCTAACCTTGACAAAGCTAGTTCGCGAATACGGACTCCAGATTTCCTCGGCCAGCTCGAGAGAATCAATGTCTCGCAAGATGTTGCGTGCTTCTTCTATTGCGTCGTCACGTCGGGCGTCAGTCCACCCCCCGAAAACAAAGTCAAGGTCCTCCTCAACATGTTCCTCGAATCGGAATCCTCCTCCGTGGCGTGGCGAGCGAGGCGAACGAGGGGGGGACCGGCCCCCGGGGGCACCAAAACGAGCAGCAGGCGATCGGGATCGATTCTCAATACTCTCCTCAAGTTGTCGAATCTTCTTTTCGAGGGCAGAGACTTTACTCTCAGTTGTGACATGACGTCCCGTATGTTCAGAACTAACACTCTCAAGGTGGGTCAGTCTAACCTGTTGACTCTGAAGCTCCGAGCTAAAGGCCGCAAATTGGCGATTTGCCTTGGTGTGAAGGCTTTGAAGTCCTTGATGGATGTCCTGCAGCCATGGTGGCATATCCTGCGGAGCAGAATAATTAACCTGCGGGGGCGGAGGTGGCAATGAATTAGGTGCAGCACCATTATGAATTAAAGCAGGGAAAGCACCTAATTGATGTTGTTGTTGTCGTTGCTGTTTTGCATCGAATTGAGGGGGAGCTCCAATTCCGGCTGCACCAAGGTTTGGGTTCGTATACTGTTGGGGGGCAATGAGCTTCCTTAAGTTCGTCAGGAGCATCGGGGGCTTCTACTTCCTCCTCATCATCATCACATTGTGTCATGTCAATGGTTATGACATGCTTTGCAGGGACATCACGAGCCTGGGATGCGCAGCTGGGAGAGTTAGCCTGTTCCAATTCGGGAATCTCTACGTCAGTCTCTTGTGAGTGAATGGTTTCACCAGGTTCTACCTTCATTTCCTGGTCATTACTAAGCTTTGGCTTCTTGACATCCGAAGGCGATTCTGTTCCCAGGCGTTTGGAGAGCTTGGGGTCGTTCAGTTGATTTTCGTCAAGTGGGGCCGCGTCAGCGACAGCCTGGGAAGAAGCTTGAGCTTGGTAGGGATTCAAGGGCTGTTCAAGTGCAGCTGTGTGTCGGCCAACAAGAGGAAGTGCACACTCTTCCTTCAACCCCGAACCTTTCTTGTCATTGGGATTCGAGCTCTGGTTCGGTGTCGTGTTAGCCAGGTTTTGCTGAAACAATCGCGCCCTTTGTCCTCCAGGAAACGTGTCCCCCTCTGTGGAACCACCGCTTCGCCGCCGTCGCTCGGCTGCTTCCTCAACCCTAAGATCACGTCCTCGAATATCATTCAGTCTCTCAACTTCTTCGGGGCTAAGAAACTTCTTGCGTTCAGACATCTCTCTCTCAGTCCTCCCTCGCACTCTGTACTGGCACACGAATATTCGAGGATCCCCTCACGAAAGTGGCGGAGGCGGGAAAAGCAGGCAGAGCAAACCTTTTAGAAGCTTCTTGGGGCTGGGGCTTTCGAGTCTTTGAGCTTGAGCCAAAATGGCTTGAGCCATTTCCCTTCAGCATCTAGGCTTCAAGGTTTCGAGTTTCGGCTTCAGGGTACGGAATCTCGACGAACCGAGTTCAGAAGAGGGTGTTGAGGCTGGACATTCGAGATTGATTCAAGGCTTTGGGGCTTCAAGCTTGGATACTTTCAAGGCGAGAAATGTAGATGGCGAAGTTCTGGGGTTCGGCGTTGTCTGTTTGATTATCGCTCCCTTCCACTTTCGGTTGTTTTCGTAGGAGAATGGGCATGGATCTCAGCGGTGTTGTGCAGCTTTGGATCGTCTGTGCCAGGCTGAGGGCAGCTGCTAGCGAGTCGATTCTGCATTGAAGGGGGTCAGGGTCTAGGGTTTCAGCACTCACACTCGGACATGCCTAAGCGAGGATTCTGGTACGTCGAAATCGCTCGTTGGCATGAGCAAAAGCGCATTAGCTAATGCCCTCGTTTAGGGCTTAGGGTTTAGGGAGCTCGTCTCGTCTATGGCTTAGGATTCTTGGTCGAGGATTTAGAAGCACTCGCCGCTCGCAGGATACCTTCCCGACAATAGCACGAACATGCGAACCCTGCCGGCTGCTACAGGTCCTTGCTCTTATCATGATGGAGTCCATGAAAGGCAAGAGGTTGCAGGCAAAGAGGAACATGTGGTCCTGTACGAATGTTTTCACGGGATGAGCATTCAGAGCTTCACGCACGGGTATTTCCCAAGCGGAAGTTGCAGTGGCAAAAGTTACCAGCATTGCTTCTGTGATGATATGCGAGACCTCACAATGGAGTACATAAGATCGTCAGTACCTGGCATCTCCGCACATGCCCTTATGCTCCATCTCTTAAAGCAGAAAATGATTGCATAGAGGCCTGAAGCATCATGATAGGGTTTTGGGGTGCAACTTTGGAATACATTAAAATGTAATCATGAAGGGCGCCACAGGAATACTACTGCCGTTATTGTTTTCCCTGGCTGCCTTTTGGCGTTTCGGGTGTCGGCGCTCACAACTCGAACAATCAAGACCGGGCCTGTGTCTTAGGTCGGCTGAGCGATGCGCAAACAACACAGAACCACTGGGGCTTCATTTTAGACGGCCCATTTCCCCCTGCAATATCCGTAACGTCTTGGAAAGCTTTTAGGAATTTATGGGCCCAAGGTTCTACAAGACCTGTTCTCTCCCAGCCGAGGCAAACCCCAAAACATCGCACACAACTAACCTCAGCACCCTGGACCATCAAACGAGTCAAGACCCCACAACGCCAGTGTCATGCCCCAATTCACATCCACACCCCTTACGATACCTCCTTTCGGCGTTTCGGCTTGCATGGCTTCCCCTCACACTCCTCTCCCCCAAGCCCGCTGCCTGCCCGCCGCGACGCGAAAAGTAGGGCAGGGAGAGGGGATCAAAATCGTTCGGCCAGCACCTGTTCGGGCTCTGACTCATGCTGCCGCCGTCACCACGACAAATACTGCTCCTTAGTACCCCCTATTTCGTTTACCACTCACTACTGACGACTTGTTACTTGCTACTTGCGAACTACTAGTCAAGACTTTTGCATCCAGGACTCTGTTCGCCAGCCGGGAAAGCGCAGAAACAGTAGTCAAGACTTACTACTTGAAAGTCGCTGCTTGCTGTGCAATGAAAGCTGCTAAATGCTACATGCAAACTGCTACGACTACGACAACGACTACAACCACAAAGACGACTGCGACGACGGTACCGACGACGATGACAACAACGACTGCTGTACTATCTATCTACTCGCTACTATCTGTGTACGAACTGAGTGCTTGCGGCGGGCTTTCAATTTCGGCTGTCATCTAACCTCAAGACGCCTGCTAGGCTTTTGGAAATCATGGGGATACCTCGCCCCAGACCGTCGCTCACATGAAAACCATGTATCCGGGATCCTAATCTCCCCGCATGGAAACACAATCCCCTGCTGTTTAAGCAGAGCCACCTCTCAGTGTCGTCTGCCGCCGCGCAAGCGGTCTCATTGTAGCATGCCTCATACCTCGGGGGATCTGGCGCTTGGTAACGAGTCCTGGCTGGTGGGGTCGGGCTCCTTCGGCTCTAGGGAAACCTTGGACAGACTCCCGAGACCAACGTGTCTTTCACTGCTCGAACGCATTTGGACGTGCATACGTTCCGTTCGAATCGTCGCCATGTCGGCCGAGGGGTAGTCGTAACCATCGTGAAACTAAACAGATGTTTCGCGGTTGGAGTAGCGGGACAACGAAGCAGACGGCTACTGCGGCATATCGCACCAGCAGTTGCAGCAGTAGTGCTAGCGGCTAGCCGCAGCAGCGACATCAGTGGTCACCAGAGCTGCTGTGTCGTTGTTGTTGCGATCGAGAAATGAAGGAAGCAAAGGCCTGAGTACTAAGCTGTGGCTTGCAAGCACGCCCAAAGCCGGACTGTTGGCCCAAACCCCCGCTGCAGACTCAAGCCCTGCAGTCTAGTTCCCATCCCTGCTCGGAAATTGAAGAGCCTAAACCGTTGTCCCAAAGAACCCGCTACCGTAAAGCATCGGACCCAGGCGCGCCGGCAGAAAGAAGAGGTCAGCGGAGTCGGGATCCTCCACAGCGTTTTCTCATGTCTCCATCGGACATAATCGGGCTCAACTCTTTCTGATGGCCGAAACCTGCAAAAGCCTCAAATGACCGCCGTTTCGGAATCGCGAGGCATGGCAAAACAGGACGTGCTACAACGAATCAGAATGGTCACCAATACGGACCGATACGCCAGTGCACTCTGCGCAAGTAGATTACGAGAGTCACAGACACAAGAGCACTCTCGAAAACAATGAATTCAGATTTGACATGGCATGGAGGTGCCTTAAAGCCACAGCCTCATTCGGAGGATGCCTGCTTCGGTTTTCTTGCGTATCCTTCCACAATCTCCACTATGCCGATGCCATTTGACCGTTCCACAATAAAGCTCTTCTTGCGTGAAGACCAGGAGGTGCGCTGCTCGGAAACATAAGCAAGGCTGTGAGGCAGAAGATGTGTGTGGTTTATGGACCCACTCAATACTCAGAACGGTGGTTTTGGGGAAAATTCAGATCGCACTTTTACAAGGATCTCCTAAGGAACCCTTCTTGCATAAGGCTTACCTGGCCTGGCCAGCCCCATCTGCTCAGGCAGCCTCAACCTCAAAGTCTAGGCCGCTGGGCCCTCAACTCTTCGAACTGATCAGGGTGTCAGGTTTAGGGTTTAGGGAACCAGAAAAAAAAACGAAACAGCTTAAGAGCCTTCTATCCCGAGAACCGGCGGCCAGTCCTCCGTCAGACAGCTGCCGCTCTCGAGCCAACGGTGGATGTGTACAGAGGCCGTGCATTGTGGCATCCTCCGCAAAAATTAGGCTTCAGGGAGCTGTGGCTGTGAGACGGAAGCGTTTCAGGGCTGGTCTCGTGGACTGGAGGTTTGAGTTGCTCTTTTTGCCCAGTATACATCGAATCTTCCAGAGAATTTGCCATGTTCGCACTGGAACTGCAAAACCGATTTGCGGAATCCCACACTCCGCCAAACCCCGGACCCAAAACGCCAAGCATCTTTTGCGCACAGCGCAGCAGTGGCTTCAGCATGTGCGTAAACTGCGGCAGGCGGTAGATGAAGATCTTGATGTTGCTTCCATGGCAACTGTGGCTGTCCTCCAGTCCCAGAAGCCTCGAGATCACAGAGTATGCCCACTTTGGAAAATAATTGAGTGACTGTGCGGACCTGCGACGTGTGCACCTGCAAACGAGGGTCTCGGCTAATTCTGCTTGTAAAAGTACGTCTGCGCGTTTGCCTTGGCCTGGATTGCCTTGGGGCCATGGAAAGATTCCAGCTTATTTTCCGGCATTCTGTGCCGGGCAGAGACCTGTGCATGAGACGAAGGAGCTGGGCCATGAACCCATCTTCGGCGAAGCATCTTCGACTATTCTCATTATGTCACTATGGCCGTCAACACCCCCAAAACACTTATAAGGCTGTTCCAGAAACCTCAACGTCTGTGCCCGAAACTCTGACCCTGTTGATTCTGTTCTCATGCTAATGCATCCTCGTGTGTTCATGATTGTCGGTTTTCATGACTATCGTCGTGACTGCGACATAGTGTCATAAGGGCCCTCTCCCGTCCATGTGCCACCGAGGAAGCCTTGGAACGTGCTCGATTGCCAGATCCTGCGTCCTTCGGGCGGGCTCTGACACCGAAACCCCTCAAAGGCCAGAGACCCGAAGACTTACGCCTCGACTTGGAGTTCAGTGTTTGCGAACGGTTTAGAGCTTGAAATCTTGGCTGTGGGAATTATCCACGGGGATGCGCATGCCTCGGCCATAAACCCCAGCAGGAGGTGCTGCGGAAGTGGCTGCAAGAGGGAGAGAGAATGAAGGCTTTCACAAACTTGTTGGAGCTCGCCCGGTGTCGTTTGCTGAATTCACCCTGTGCCGATGTCAATCCATGGACCCATGCGCCCAAACCCTCAAGTCTACTGCTAAGCCACATGACTGAAACGCCCGGAAGCGTACCATGACAAACAAGCCTCATGGAGACCAACGATCAATAGAAGCCTCGGTGCATGAACCCCAGTACTATTCTTTAGGCTTCCTTAATATGCCTCTAATATGATTTTTGGAAAGAGACTAAAACCGTATCCTAACTGTTAAGACCCCAGCCTTGCAGACTTTGAAGCCTTGGCCCTGTGCAGTAGAAGCTGCTCACAGCGATCTGTTGAGAGCCAAAAAATTTCCGTGGAATACGCCGTATGCTTGAAATAACGAGAAATCCATAGTATAGTTTAAGGTACAGTCTTCAAACTGCAGGATTTCGGAGTCTTGGGGTCCTCCAGGGTACAGCCTCTGCGTGAGCGCCATGTGGTCTGACAGCCGCAAGGTCAAGGCGCTTCTGGTACACCTGATTATAGGTTCGGGCTTTCGGACATGTTGCTTCGAACGCGTGCTTGTAGTGTTGCCTTGTGCGACGCTTCGTCGTCCTACGGGTGATTCTGCACACTCCTGATTACCACTATGAGACTATGAGCCCAGATTTTTGCTGTGATCTTTAATATGCTTCAGTGATTACTGTAACTCATCTTCTTCCTGTGCTTGTATTACTCAAGAGATGCAAACACAAAGCTCGGCATCTTGTTACGGAAAACGTCATCACTGCTCTGCTCATAATTTCATGCGTCATCACTGCTCTGCTCATAATTTCATGCTGTCTTTTCTTGCTTTCAGGGTTTGGACGTGCCAGCTTGTTTGCGTCGTTCGAATTCCGCTACGTTGTCCGGGAAGGAGGCTGTTGCGGGAGAAGGCTATTGACCTACGAAAAACAGGATACCCGTGATGTATGGAGGGAGAAGGGAGATCGAGAGCGAGAGCGTGCAAGAAAAGAGTCAGACAGAGACAACGACAGAGTCATAGACCGTCTGCGTATTCAGCAACATCTACCTTTCAGCATGCCTGCACAGCTGTGTCGCGCCCGTGGTCTTCGTCGAGGATACCGATCACCAGGTCGATGGCCGCGATGGCACCCTCCTGAGTTGGCAAAGGGCTTCATGCCTCGGGATGCTGGCACGGTTGGCTGCCCATCGGAAAGCTTGCTACCAACACGCAAACAAACCCACCATAACCCACCCAAACCTTAGCAGCCCTAGCAGCTCACAAATTGGCACTGGCGCTGCCGCTGTCACGTTAACTGCGGCGGTTACTTCTCCTCCTACACCTTAACTGCCTCTTGCGACGACGACGACGACGACTACTACGTCACGTCTGCGCTGCGACGGCCACCACTGCTACGATTATTTCATCTTGCACAAAATCCAAGCAATGATTCTTACCTGTAAGTTGGACCAAATCTCGGGGCAGAGCTTCTTGTCCTTGTCCCACTGGCCAGGGACGTCTCTCCAGGCCAGGGTCCTCTTCGCCCGGCTCACCACGGGGCTTTACAAGGTGTTGCAAGCAGCTTCATAGGAAAACCCGAAACCCTGATCCCTCAACCCTAAACCCAGTTATCGCACTTCCTGGCTTCAACAGCGCAATCCTCCGCACCAGGGCTTCCGCCAACTCTTTGGAGACGTAGCTCCCTGCCCTGTCAAGAAGTCGAATGGGGTTTGGATTCGCGCCACGAGTTTCAAAATGGAGTTTAGGGTGTTATGATTTAGGGTTCAGGGGAGTTTGTTTAGTGTTGCTAAGGCTTTTTAAGACTTTAGGGATTTCAGCGCTAGAACTGCGACAACCCTGGCGATGTTACGGGTCCGAAAGGCAGCACAGCAGCACACATTAGCAGCTATCGGCAAAGCTTTTGGCGTGTGGGCTTCAGGGTTTTGCGAGGTTAAGGAGTTTAGGCCTTTCAGCAAGAAGAGAAGCAAAACGCGGCGAGTTGCCACGGGCAGGGAGCACGAAGAGCACAACACGTGAAGAAACAAAGCAGCTCTGAAAGGTTTGCCAGACAAGAAGTTTCTGACGTAGTCTTGGTTCTCAGCATCCTGAAAACCTCAACGGTGTCAAGTCAAGTTTAGGATTGATAGATGGAGTTCGAACGGCAAACCCAAACCATAGACTAGTTGCTACTACTTGCCTAACTGTTATTCCACAACCCAAAAAAAGATAGTTTCCTCGGGTAATGAAATGGGCAGCAGAGGCTCTGCCCATAGGTGTGGCTGATGTTGATTGAAGCTGAGGCCACTTTCACCTGAAGGCTGGACATCTGCATGTTTCTTCAAGGCTTACGCAAGAATTCGGATTTCGGCCGGCTGTTCATCCCTAAACCGAAACCTGACACAAGCCCGACCTTCCTAAACCGCACCGAGCTCCCTCAAATCCTAAAGATGCAGGTTCCAGCCTTAGCTTGGGAGAGAAGGATCTTTTCGGGCCCCCCGGTTGTTCAGGCTTAGGGTCTAGCTTGGGGGCTGTAGTGTCCAAGGGTTCGTGGTTTAGGGCCTCATTGGGCATTGTTCTGTGCTGCCCACTTTAACTCTCGCTCTCTGGACCCTCTGGCGAGAACCCGATTCGAAAAGAAAACACTTCAGAATGCTCGGAGCGGATGGGATTTGGGGCTATGTCTCCGTAGCGATTTCGGAACCCCCACCGAGTTCCAGAAGTTGGCGTTCTCACCCTGGCAGTCCAGCGAATCTCCTGCCGCCCGCGACACGGAGGTGTGGAAGGCATCCATGAAGGCACGCTCAAGCACGTTGACAGAATGGTCGTTGGGGTCCTCAGCCGAGATCCCTAAAACGCACTCGTGATAAAAAAACATGGAGCCGGCAAGAAACGTGAAGATGCAAACCTGAACCTCAAAAACCCTTGTTCCCTGAAGAGCCTACCTTCCCTCGAATCTCGGTTTGCCCCCCCCCCCCCAAAACCCGAATCTGTCAGACCCGGAAGTCCTAAAACCTCCACACCAGCCAGCGGTGCTTCTTGCTTTTTCTCGACAGTTTGCGGCTGCAGAGATCAACACATCTTATACTTAGCTTCGCAAGTATAGAGATAGTCTTGCACGGCCCCCATCCAGTACTTGCAGCATTGAGGCGTCGCGCCCTTGCAGACTGTGGGAAAACCGCAAAACTCCCAATCGCTGCCGCTCTTGGCAGCATCATCGATCTCTTTGATGAGTTGCACGGCATTGTTGCGGACCTTATCGACGGCATCTCTCACGCGAGCGTCACTGGCATGCTGCTCCTTCACAGAGTTGCCCACCGCCCTGATCACCTCCATATCTTGCATGGTCCCGCCACGACCCTCCAAGGTACGCGTCGCTTGGATGCGAGCCGCCACCAGGAAGAAGCTCAGGACCAATGCGCGGCTCATGGCGGCACAGGTGCGGCACTAGAGTTTAGCAAATCAACAGCAGAGTTTGAGCCACTCTGTGAAGAGGACGACATAGACGGCTCGGGAATTTTGACGAAAACAAACGCTCTGAGGAATTATCTTACCTATGCTCCAGGCACCTAGATTCAGAGATACATAAATACATACATACATACATACATACATGCCTACGTACATACGTACATACATACATTCCTTCAGACATACATTCATACGTACATACTTACATACATGCACCCATCTATCCATCCATACATCCATCCATGCATACATGCATACATGCATACATGCATACATGCATACATACATACACGCACATGCACATGCACATGCACATGCACATGCACTTGCATACATACGTACATACATACATACATACATACATACATAATTTGTGTATATAAATACATATATCTGAGGAATTGTGTTGTATGCATGTGGAGAATGGAAGTTGATGTAGGACTCTTGCAAAATCCTAGCCTATAGTGTGAAAACAAAAAGGTTCAAAACTCGGGCCCGTAGTGCAACGCTATCTGTGTATGCATATATGTATGTATGTATACATGGCATTCCACATCCAACATAAAGCCCACTAGAGGCCCCCAAACCGCCAGTCTCATAACAAAACTCTAAGCCGAGGTCCTCCACCTTGTCCACGCAGCACCGCTCGGGGATGAAGTTGTCATCCCAACACCCTTCTTTCCTAGGTTCTTCAGAAACCCGTCGGGAAAAGCATTTTGTTTGAGATAGGCTGTATGGTGGCAGAAACCCCAAAACCATAATAGAATCTACACCCTCCTCCATACCCTAGACCCCAAAGCTTAAACCCCACCCTACTCTGCGAATCCTAAACTTTACCCTATTCCAGAACCCTACACCCGAAAACCCATAAACCGTTCAAGACCCCTTGCCGTCTGCAGCCCCTCATGCAAACAAAAGACCTGAGCAGAAGACCCAAAATTCGCCAAAGAGTTTCGGATCCTCCAGGCAGCACTCCTCGTAGGAGTAGCCATCGATCCAACAGGCGGGGTCTCCTTCCACGGTTCCTTAACCCCCACCTTCGGGTTTTCTGCAAGTTTGGGTACCTTTGAAATTTGGGTGAGTGGTCCTTTCGTGTTCACACGGGTTTTTTTGACGATCTCGGGTTTCTCTTGCGATGGTCTGGGGGTTTACAGTTGCACTCTGGTTTAGGCCTTCGGGTTCAGGGCTTCGACTGACACAGCTGTGCCAGTGGTCCGTGATCGTGCGCGGCAGCTCTAGCTATCTTTTAACAGCTCGCAGAAATAGTGAGGCGGGTACGGCCGGGCCTCGAGAGGAAGACACCCAAATGGCTGCTGTCAAAGGGCTCACCACACACTAGACGCTCGGAGGAACATTGGTGCATACTAGATTCAACACGACTTTCACCCTCGCACCAGGCAGGAAAGGCTTCGACAAGTCCATGCGAGCTGGAGCAGCGTGTGCTGGCGGCCGTGCCTTCCTTGTCTCACGCCCGCTAAAGCCACTACGATTCGGTTGCCCTTGCAATGCCGTTAGGACCGTTAGGAGCACAACTGCTAGCAACCTTCTCATGCAACCGACAAATCCTGCAAAGCTCGCGGAGCAACTAATAACTAATAAGTGAGGTTCAGGGTTTATGCTCTCACGACTCGGACATGCCATGCGAGGTTCACGGTGCGACGTCGGCGTGAAACAGGACCAAGTATCCCCAGCAAACAAAACGGCATATCTAAGACCCTTACCGTCAAAACGCCAGGGACACCCAGGGAAACTACACCCTCAAATCTACATGGCAAGCACCCCTGTCCGACGTACCGAAGCACAGCATTCCGACCAAAAATACGAGGTTCAGGGTTTAGGGTTTTGGGTTTTGGAAGTTTCGATTTCTAAGGCTAAGGGGTTTGTATATAATCTTGGAAGGCTTTACCAGCTCTCCTCGAACCACCCGGGTCTCGTTGCCGAACTCGCCTCCGCAGCATTTCTCCCGAGTGTAAAGCTCGTCCCAGCAAGCAGGATCTCCCTGCACACAGCACCGCTGTTCCTGGGATCAGCGCATTCGTTGGGAGCCTGGTGCTTGTGCGTTTCATAGTCCAAGCAAAAAAGACACGGCCGTGTTGTGGCGTGCATGAACCACGGACAACAAGGGGTGATGCAAGGTTTGGAACCAGCGTGGTATCACCCTGGCTAGGGAGCTTGCGCTAACCGCCCATGAAACTGAGAAGACTGCACTGCCAAATCGCAGTCAAAGCCACATCGTATTCTCCATGCCAGCATGCCGAAGGACCGGCAGACCCATGAAAGCTGCAGATTGATAGCCACAAAGGAAGCAATAGGCCTTCCTTGATGTACCATTGTCGGTTACCCCCCTACAGTCAGTTACCCCTTTCTGGTCCGCTACATTCTAAATTGTCCGGCTTCATCTTTTGTAGGGGTCTGCAAAATAGTACATCATTGATCCTATGTGACCCCTACAGTCCGGGTGCCCATTTCTCAAAATATTCGTGGTTGATAAAGTCGCGGGTTTCAATTCAAACCCTGCCATGACCACTAAAGTCCGAAAAAAAGTGGGGCAGCACATGACCAGCAAAGGCTGGTCATGGGGCGTCCCCAAATGGGGTAACCGGAAGGGGGCGGTAACCAGGACATGTATATTATTCCTCATCTCACAGAGCTTCTGTGGCTTTTGGCTGAGGACTTAAGACCGGTCCCCCCCTCCAAACCCGAACACGGAAACTACAATTCTGAAGTCCAATTTTGTATACAATGCAAGCATTTGGATGCGGCGCTGCCAGCCATCCCTATGCTGGATGCTTTGGGTTTATGTGGCTGTTGAAAGCTAAGTCGCCTTTCTGCGCATGCCTCCGGCGACCAGCAGTAGTGGCACCGATGGCTCAGGTTCAGGGCTTACGGCTTAAGCTAAAGATGCAAGTTCTTTGTCGTCATTGTCCGGACTTCTTGCGTGCTTCCAGCCGCCCACCCGGCAACCCCACTGCACTTCAGGGTCTTCCCGACTCCACCATCTTGTTTCTGGACATCCTCCTGACGTTAACAAGCCGGTTCGAGCCATGTGGCCACGAGCAGCGCATCGACAACCAGCTCAGGTACGGAGTTGGTAACGCCGTCAGGGATTTCAGATCAACAGTCGAACAGGCAGTGTATGCTTGATAGTAAAGATCTTGTGGCATGGGAGCCCAATATCACTTCCGACAGTGAGCCGAAGACGAAGGCGGCATCCGAAAAGACCTTGAAGAATCTAGAGCGTCCTTCCCAACCACAAAAGGCACAGTGGCGTTTGGTTCCCTGCTGTTCTTGGCTCCCTTTCTTTGCTAGGTGTCCGGGAGTCACTGCAATACTGCAATCTACAAAGCTTAGAGGTGGTTACTTAGCGATGTTTGGCACTGTTCAGCAGCTTCATTTGGCATTCTAGAGCTTCAATACCCGATTAGCAAAAGCCATTTAAGGCTTTCAAGCCATGCCAGTTTAGAGTCAAGGCGCAGGGGCGGCAAGCAGCAAATCCACAGTCCATGTTTAAAAGTTCACGACCGCAAGCTAAACGAAGCCCCAGGAAAGATGCCTTGCTACCGCAAGCCCCCTGAAACTCGTCGAGGGAGCTATCCTGTGAGCTGCGCCGGGCGAGAGCTCCTCACCAAAGCTTGGGGGCAGCAAATCTGGACCAAACATAATGCTCGGGGCCCCTTCATTCTTGACCTGAAACCCCTCACGCCCACATCGCCGATAAGGCGTTCAATGTTGACTAGCTTTGCCCTTTTGAGCGATGGGGCTTAAGGCTCTTTGGTGTAGTGTGCCCATCTACGGTGTAGGGATTAGGGCCTCGGGTCTGGGGTTTTACGCTCTCACAACTCGGACAAGCCTGGCGAGGTTCATGGTGCGTGGTCGGCGTGAAACAGGGAATGACAGCCCACAGCAAGAACCAAAAACCAGAACTAAACCCCTCTAAGAACCAATCCTGGGGGTTTTAGGGTTCAGGGTTTAGGATGGAGTTTCCGGCTCAACGTTCGGAGAGGGTTGGGGTGCCCAAGAGGGATTCGGTCGTCAGGAGTTGCGGCTCTTGACCTAGAAGCACTTCCCGAAATAGCGTTGGCAACAAAAACCGGCCAAGGAGGAGACCATCAACACAAGGAACATCCTCACTAGGACGACAGCAGACAGCATGGCAAACCAAAGCCAAAAAGCCATCCCCCAACGGCCCCAACCCCAAACAGAAAAGGCAGTTCTTTGGCTTCGGCGGCCTGGAAAGGGCTCCATTCCTCTGTGGCCCAGATGCTATAATCACCCGGATCCTGTCGCAGAAGATTTGGGTGGGCTTGGGGGGAACCGGGGGTTGAAAAATAGACTCTCAACGCTAAACCCACATGCGACAGCGCAAAAGGATAACTCTACAGCTATATTTCGGGATTGCATGTTCAAGTTATGGCGAACTCACCACGGAAAGTCAGGCACGAAGTGCACAAAAGTCTTCTGGAGAGCTTCCGCTTGGTAGCAATGCCAGCAGAGCTATCATACCGTCACCACTGTCCTCACAAACAACACCAAGTAGAACAAGACAGACAAGAACACGAAGATTGAGGCTGGCGGTTTCTGCCCTAAACTTGAACACAAACGGCCGAGAACCCCACACGACCAACAGCTGTCAGAATACTCAGAAGGCTCCGACATCCGGCCCGAGTCGCATCCCGCTCGCCCCAGCGGTAGTTGTAGGACTGGTGGTCCTGTCGAAAGCTTATCTCTTTTAGTTTCTACTCAGATTCTACTCTTAATAGCTGCCTTTCAAACGTACGACTCGCTCATCCTGATTGCCTGCCCTGCCACTTCCGCAATTCAGGCGAGGCTCCACTCAATTTCCTTTGCTCGTCTTTACACCCGGGCTCGGATCTGGTCTGGGATGTGAGAGATCTCGAAAAATCTGAAGGGACGACTTCCAACAGCGACCAAGAGTGCAAAGGTGCGACTGTCACTGATATCTCCCTTGCGATCTCGCGCGGTGGAGCTAAGATTAACAACCATCCCTTCAGTGATGCGCATCGCTTCGCGATGGCGGGGGGCTTCATGAGGCTACCCAAGGCACTGTGCTGTCTTACACCTCAAGAAATCATTCTTGGAGTACGAAAACAAGAAATTCAAGCTCGAGAGCTGCGTGTCGTTTGTGAATATCTACCTGCCCAAGAGCCTCCATGAATTCTCGGCGCCTTGCCACGATCCCTCCGTTCAGGGGAACATCGCTTTCTCAAGAGGCATCGGGCACCTCAATGGTGTAGGTGTTCAACTTGAAGCGCACATGGAACCCCAAGCTTACACAAGTTGGAGTGATCAGACGAAAAGGCAAGTCATACGATGCGAGGAGCAGACTACAATAGAATACATGTCAGTGTAGCCGTTAATTCGATCTTCCCGCGCAAAGTTTCGCGGTCAGACCAACAGACAGAGCCGTGCACTGCCTAGAGACAGTTTACACCGAAAAATCAGCATGCTCCGCTGAAGAACGCAGTGGATCTGCGTGGACGGTGCGGCGTGCCCTGGCACGTGCCGCAATGGATCCCACTTCTTGCTGGCATTGAAGTCTATCCAACCACCCTGCAAGAAGTCCATCAGAACCTAAAAGCAATCGCTGGAGTCTCTCGTTGAACTTCGAGATGTCGGATGCGTTGCCAATCCTTTTCAATATCGCCTCCTTGTCCTCCTCCCTTGAAGCAGAGCAATCTTCGACACGAAGGGTGGTGAGCTGGTTGAAATGCAGCTCCAATGTCTCAGGCGACGGAAGCACTAGGTGCTGTTCCATCTGGCATGAACTCGCCTGCGCGAGTTCGGCAATGCACCAAGCCTTGGATGAATTCAGAGTTTAACCTTCCACCTCCTTAGGAATTGTAGGTTTTTTAGCACAGGTTTATATACGTAGAGGCCAAGAGCTTGGTTAACGTATTAACTGCCCTACGAAAGCCCAAACGCCCTGGAGAAGATCGTGAAGTCGGTGTCCGTAGCCACGACTTGCAGGTAGTAAGGATGCCTATTCTTCAAGAACAGCATCATGTCATCAAACTTGTTGAGCTCGCATTGGACTGGCTGATCATTGAAAAACTTTGGTGTGCGGCAGTCGCAAGTCGGATACACTTCCCGAGTCACGCTGTCGCTTCCACCCATGGCATTCCCACAGATGCTTGCATGCTGGTTAACACAAAAAGCACAAATCCAATACTGCCATTGGTCAGAACCTCGTGCCGCGAGCCTCTCTTGCAAGGCCTCCTCGTGCCGCTCCTCCAATTCTAAAGCAATGCCATCCCAACGCTTTAAGCCCAAGCCATCTGCCACCACTACTGCTACCAGGTCCTTGAAACGATTTTGCCAGTGATGCGTCACCATGCGAGGCCCGAGACGAGGACGGGCACTTCCACACCGAAGCAAGGGCGCTGCCCAGCTCGCCTTGGCGACTCTCCGGGATGATCGCATGGCGCACGACATCGGAGGTCGTCGAGATCTTCGGATCGAAGTGGGGCATCAAGGGCCCCTTTGGTGCCCCCAGGCGTGCATGGAAGTCCAAAAGCCTTTCTGCCGAGATGCGCCGCAGAGCCAACTCCTCCACCTTCGCAAACCAACCACATCTCTCACACGCTTTTCTGGGGCCAGAGCTGGTGGATGTGGACTCGCAGGTGCATTCGGGAAGATCTTGGCTGCCCAAACCTGCGCTGCTAGGCTCTCGGACCTGCCTTTGAAGGGAAAAGTTCTGGAGATGTAACTTGCCGCCAGACAGGAGCAGGAGGCAAAGCCCGTTTCCTAGGCCGTCCACCATGCATCCGTACTGGTATGCGTCCCACCAAACTCTGCTCCCGAAATGGGCCACCGCTGCAGCCGTCACCAAACGAAACGATACTGAGACGTTCGAAAGGAAGATGCCCAGCTGGGCTTGGTGGATAATTCGGACGGCAAAGGAGACTTCCTTGTGGAGGTGCTCCGAAACACCGTCACTTCCCTCTGGCGTGCAATCAAGCAAAACCCTCAAAGGCGAGGACAACGCTCGAAACATGAGACACATCATCGACAAAATGCACAAAGCTGCGGCGCAGCCGAGTCCCAGCGTCAAGGCTGTCGATACCCTCACAGAGAAAGCCAACAGCCAGATCCAGAGCACGTTCACCCTGGCCAACCACAAGATCAGTCGGAAGTATTGTAAAGATTCACCGAAGCCTGCCTGGAGGGCCTCCAGCCGTTGCACGACCAACTGCAGGGCCCAGATGCCACTTAAAGAGCTCGCGGCCAAAGCATATGTGCCAATGGCCGAGTAAATTCGATCCCGGCCGAAGTCGCCGGCCATGTCCCTGAGACCGTTCTGGTCTACGTCGCCGCCTACGCAGGCATCTGTTACGATCCAGATGGTTCGCATCGCCAGGCTGGAGTACTGGTACGCTACGCATCTGATAGACTGGCGGAGGTACGCCGAGTCCTGATGATCGGCGAGTGCCATGTAAACCAACAGAAAGGCCAAAAGCCAATTGGCAGCTTGGAACATGTAGAACTGAGCCCATAAGTCTGCAAAGTTCTGGCCATACTTCGTGCGCATGTTCGGATCGAAAGACGTGCAGCCTGCGTGTCCTCCGTACACAATGAAGGGAAAGAGGGTCACTGCGAGTGCTGCCAGCAACACTACAGACGCACAAAGCAGGCGAAGCGCATAGCCTGTAAAGGGCTGCGTCTGCGTTCTCATGCTGACCCGGCCCGTCAGATATATCCAGAAGGCCAGCGACACAAAGCCCATCTCGGTGGAAGGCAGCATGATCAGCACAAAGCTTATAAGGCCGAACATCAAGGACAAGAACCATCGGGCATAAAAGCCGCACCAGATGGTCATCGCCATAGCAAGCTACTTCAGACGCCAAGGAAGTTGTCGTTGGAACAGCTCACTTGAACTCTAGATAATGACCCTGCACGGACCTGGAATCCTTGTGAACTGAGACGTTTAAGTCTTGCTGTTGCCCTTGCCATTGCCGTCCTGGAGCCAAGTTGAATTACAGGCCCAAAGGTGCGAGGAGCGGACTCAGACCACCACGGATCAGAATCCCTGAACCTGGGCTCCGATGCCCAAAGCACAAGCCCCGAAGCTTGGAGTCGATAGGTCCTGGTGGAACAGATACTTCGACAGCTGCGAAGGCATGAAGATGGGCATGTTCATGCCTTGCATTCGCGAGACCAGGCATTCGGGCGGCATCTTCAGCTAGGGGGGCAGAACACGGCAGATGAGCTGTTCGGGTCTGCTCACGCCTGAAAGACACGCCTGCAAGCTCGAAACTCGCTTCCGAGGCACCATAGAACTCGTAGAAGGTAATAAGATCCATATCATAGGGCCTCAGCTGACGTCTGCCACTTTCCCTAAACCACTTGAGGTATAGATGCGGTGCCTACGGATTTAAGCCCAGGGGCCACAGGACCACAGCCCGAAACTGCGCGAAGGTGCTGAACTTCCGATCCGTCATCGCCTTTTTTCCCAAGGTTCAGGGCAGCCCGAGAAAACCTCCAAGCATTTCGCATCTGCCTCGCAAACAAAGTGTCGCAACCCCAACACCCCATTAAAAAAGGCGTTCCTTAAACTTTAAATCCTACAACCTGAACCCTCAACCCACATCAATCGTCAACTCGCAGGCGATCCTTGCCGAAGCGATCCTAGCTGCTCCGGGCCTATCTTCCCGCAGCCAAGGAACGCGGGTGAGGAAGCCTGACAGCCGCTTGAGTTGGGATGCGCCTAGTTTTGGCTTACGCCCCAGCAAAGAAGAAGACTTAGTTCGCCTGCTGAGCAGGTTAGGATATTCGCGGGTTCTTCGAAAAACAGCCGGACAACATTGCAACTGAATGGCGCCAAGGGCGACACCTGATATGATTATACAAACGCCAGGCACAACCAAATACACATCACCACACAAGCATAGAGCCAAAGTACCAAGAGACAAGAAGACCCTGAAGTGAGAATATGCAACAAGCTGCCTACAAAACCGCCAGGATGCGAGAGCATCCTGCAACACTTACAAGCGAAGAATAATAGCAGCTATACGGACCATGATAACTCTGAAAAGACCAGATAAACACGACAGCAGACGGAACCCCTCCATGCTCCGAAGCTGGTCGGTGCTCCGGCAGCGGAGAGGTGTGTTTTCGGGAACCCGACTAGTGCCTACCGGTTGTTGCCTGGGCTTGTGGTTAAGGGGCTTGGGGGCATGATGGGCTTGCATCCTCCAGAAACCTGGGATTGAGGGGCTTACGTTCCAGGTTACTGTAAGGTTTATCCTCTGACAGCTTTCATCCCGGGGTGTGGCTGTTTGATTTGTAGGTTCGACTCACTGTCTGACAAATCAGGGCAAAGGTTCGCGCATCAGGTGCGAGGACAGCCAACTACCACCATTACTCTCTGGTTCTTAGTAGGGAATGGGGGAATGGATCCCTATGATAATCCCTTAAGGTCCCCTATAGTAGTCCACACTAACGCATTCCCCCATTCCTTACTAAGAACCAGTCAGATTAGTTCGTCACTAAGTCGTCCAAACTGCAAACTCCAAGCCTACTCTCGGAACCCTACACCCTAAACCTTTCAGGTGCGCCGCTCTTTAACCACTGGAGTGCTGGTGTTCATAGTGCTTACTGAAGACTCTTGTCCGCCTGGCAGGCAAGACCCGATCAGCAAGCCTACTTGAGGCACCCCAGACCCAAACACCCTAAACCACGAAGCCCTCAACCCAAACACTGGGAGTCTGAATTCTGAATCCTGAACCCCAGTCCTCAAACCCGAAGCCCCAAAAACTAAACCAGAATCTGCATAACAGGGCTTGGAAGCGAAAGGGGTACTCGGAGCTGCTCGCTTCCCGCAGTCGGCCATCAGCTAGCGGCCAGTCGATAGGCTCACCTATGTGGGGTGGCTCCTTTAAAGGGAGCTTAAGAGTGGTTAAGGGTACTACAACAATACTGTAAGGGTTTAGGAATTTGGGGTTCTGGCCGTGAAGGTCTAGGCTTCGACTCGAACACTCGCTCAAGGCAGGCAGGGGCACGGATACAGGCGATTGGTTTGGGGTTGTTAGGTCTTGGGTCTAGGAGCTTGGCGGGTTAGAAGGATAGGGTGGGTGGGTAGGTAGATGTCGACATGCAGGCAGATAGGTAGGTAGGTAGGTAGGTAGGGAGGGAGGGAGGGAGGGAGGGAGGCAGGCAGGGAGGCAGGCAGGCAGGTAGGTAGATTCAGGTAGATAGACCGACAGATAATGAATAGATTTGTTCCCTCTCGCAAGGCCGAAACAGATTAGATAGATGGGTGGATTTCTTTTGTTTGTGGTGATTGGTTTATATGCGCGAACATATCTATATTTGTATTTCTGCTACTCTTTACTTAGGATTTTTTCATGCGTGATTATACGTGCACTCCGTTTTGCATGTACAGCCAGACTTGTTTTCATCATTTACGTTTCTATCTGTTTACCCACCCAAGTGTTAGCATACTTGTTTGCGCTAGCGCCCTACCAGTTGACCCCCCGGGTTCTGCATGTTTTTATCTGTTTGCCGGTGTTGGGCGTGGAGGGGGGTTTGGGGGAGGGGTTAGTTTCGTTCTGTCTAACGACGTCCATTACCGAGCAGTCCTAGGAGGAGTAGTAGTAGTAGTAGCAGTAGTAGTCGCAGTAGTAGTCGCAGTAG